TCATTAAAAACATGACTCAAAATAATAATTTGATTATAAATTTTTTAATACCAGACAGTTATCTGGTATATATGCCGTATCTTTGAGTACATAAATTTGCTATGTTTGTAAGCAAATTTATTAATAAATAAAAATGTCTTCATGTGACATCACAGGTTTAAGCCTGAAGGTTCTCCCCTCCCTGTTGGCGGTTTTGGTTCTGTACCTTCTCATAGGTGGTTTTATCGCTGTGCCATCGCGTCACTGTCTCCAGCATGCAGCACAGGAAACGGCCGTAGCGCCGAGACTCGTTCTCTGTACAGCTCGCAACTGTGTAGATGATGTCTGAGAATACCTGCAAGGGGAGGGAGAGAAGGAGAGAGAGAGAGAAAGAGAGAGAGAGAGAGAGAATCAACAGATAAAACCAAGGTGGCCCTGAACACCCTGGGAGAGAGATCATTGCCGTCATCACGATAAACACCCTTTTACACGCCGCTGCTTTAATGCACATAATCAAACACTTTGCTCAATCAGACTCAGCAGGAGACGGACGGCCATGTCTACAAACAGAGGAGTGCAGCGCTGCCATTGTGGGCCTGTCAGCGTCGGCTATTGTCCTTACCAACGCCACTCAAGCAGCTATTTGTTACAGAAAGCGTTTACTCGTTTTGGCTATTTGAAGCAGCGGCGGCTCAAACGGGTTCAGAAAGGGTGTGAGGGACTCACGCGGTCGTAGCAGAGCAGGGTGCAGAAGTTGGGCGTCTTCTGCTGGTGCACGAGCTCCACGAAGCGAGCGCAGTAGACAGCGTCGATGGCTGAGAAGACACAGCGGGGGAACAAGCAGAGCTGCAGGAACTTGGTGATGGTCTCGTTCTTGGTGGATTCTGCAGAGGAAAGATAGAGAGAGGATGAGAAAATAGGTGGAACTGGGAAAGAGAGAGAGAGAAGGAGAAAAAGAGAAAACTTACTGGCGAGTAACCAGTTGTCCTTCTCCAGTTTGAGGCGCTGCAGCACTCTCTGCACATGCTCCAGCTGCTTCTTCTCCTCCTCCAGCAGCTTGTCCAGCAGAGCAGTGCAGCGCTCCTTCTCCTTCTTCTTTTTGTTCAATGGCTGTGGGAGTGACAGCACAATCTCAGCATGACAAAACGCTCGTTCCAGAAACACTGACTTTGGGCTTCTTCACAATATTCACACAAGCTATAAATTCATTATTGGCACTATTAATCTTCTAAATGTTCTTGTTTCCATGAAGATCTAACAATGATATTGAGAGTCATCACATCTTGTCAAATCACGCAAGTTTAGGGGGCCACCTATAGGCCTTATATCAGAAGGAGAAGTGTTCTCTCCAGGTTGACTAAAATATAAAAAAAACTAATAAAAATAAACACAGCAAATACCTAAACAGATAATCTTTTAAATGTAAGCCTGGAGTTGCAGTTAGTCTAAAGAGGCTGAATCTTAAATTTTGCTTGTATTTTATCTTTTTGCTTGAAGTGCACTTATAATGTTTGCGTGGTTTTATAATATGAAACAGTTTTACATGACTCTCTTTACCCCTTATAATTAATGAGGCTGCTTTTGTTACCTTTACGACTGATATGAGTAAATAAACTGTTTTAATTGACTGTCCTGTTCAGTTCCTTATTCAAAAAGCTGTTGAGGCTGAAATACTCCTTATAACTTCAACATGAATGGGCAGGGCTAAACTGGTCGTCTTCCATAACTGCACAGAGGCGCTGCATTCAAAACAAGCTGTTTAGCTCTCATATTTGGGCCCAGTCCCATTTTACCCCTCGCCCCTAACACTTAGCCCTACCCCTCCGTTTTGCGTGTTCACGTCTAGGGGTAGGGTGTCCCGGTTCTTGTTGAGATAGAGGGGTGGGGAGAAGTGTTAGAGCTACCCGACCCTCCAAACAGAGGTTTTTCAGAGACTCCAAACACAGTATTATGAGAAAAAAAAGAAAAAACAGCAAGATGGCTGAACAAAAGACCAAAGAAACCCACAAATGTGAGAATTTTCTGTTAAAAAATTATGACAACCATCATATTATCTTAGTTTAATGCCGTTTCAATGTATTACGGTCCTTTTCTTCATAAGAGGCATAAAAATCACTAGTAGTATGCTCATGTCTTGGTAGCTGGCTAGCTAATATTCCTGCTCCACCTTAAATGGTGCAGCAGTTGCCTGAGGCGTCAGAATGTATCTGCAGCGCCATTTAAGGTGGAACGGGAAATTTAGGTAGCTGGCTACCGATACATGAGCATACTACTGCTCTTTGAAGATCATATGATGCCCTAAATGTAACTAAAGCCCAGCAGTGAGGAGCTGAACTTTACCCTCCTCTGCTGTCACTGCAGACTGGCAGGGTCGCCTACAGAGCAGCGCTGGTAGCTGTTAATGAAGTGATGCTCTTTTTATTTTTCCACTACGCCTTATAACTTGATGGCGATGGACTGTACAGACTGGAGACTGACCGGTAGATTTTTGAAATTCTAACTTTATCAAACTGTTTTATTTGAAATCAGCAGGGAAAATATCCCAAATATCCCAAAATATGACCCCTTTAGGCAGCATCATATTATATTTACTATACTGAACCTACTATAAACATCAGTTGTGCAATAGAAGCTTAGCTGGATTTTAGTGACCAAGAAAATCCTGTGTTGACAACAGTCCTAATTAAAATGAAGAGCATGTAAATTATATGAGATTTCCACGTTTCAAGTAGACCGAGGGTCTCTTACCATCTCTGTATTCTCATCAATGGCCTTGATCTGCATTTTGAGCTTGTTGACCTCACGGTCATAGGCACTTTGGGGCACAGCCAGGTCATACATGGTCAGTGACCAGAAGGTGGCGTAGAACTGAGGCCGGATGTCATCCCACACCTTGGGCGGATGGAGGGACACCACAGCTTCGTGCACGGGGGCCATCACCTGCTCGCACGCAGCAATGTACTTGTGGACCTTCTGCTGCTGCCGGTTGCCCTTCTCTGCCTTCTTCAGCTCGTCGTACTTGGACTAGGAGGGAGCAAAGCAGGGTGAGTGTGATGATTAGCCCAATCAGCAGCAAACAGGCCCAGGTTATGGATATGGATGGCTGTGTCAAGCGAACGAAACGGGCACAGGCACAGCTCCTGCACGGGAGCTGGAGGAAGCCCAGAGACTGAGCTTCACTGGCACAGAGATGGTATAAATCAGTGGCGCTAAGCAGCTCCACGCTTCACAGCTGGAGCCGAGGATTGGAGGGAGGAATTAAATCTGCAGCACTTTCATGAAAAACGTGCAATGGGAGTGATAGTAAAGTATGTTTTGACAATGTGCTGCAAAGTGGATACAGAAAAAGCCGTGTGGGGAGCACAGGGAGGTAAATCTTGTTACGGGAAGAGAGGGAGGGGAAGTTGGTGGTGGAGGGAGGTGTGAGCTGCTTGTGAGCTCCATTCGTCTACTTTTTCAATCCACTACTGTGACTTCAGACCAGGGGTGTCAAACTCAACCAGTAAAAGGGTGATATTAAAAAATCTCAACAAATCCGTGGGCCAGAGAAAAACTGTATTTATTTCATTTTAATTAATGTTGTGCTGTAACAAACTGGCCTTTGTTTCAATGCAAAAATTCAACAGTAAAATACAGACCTGGAAATATTACCTGAAATATTAAAAATGTAAATGTCCCCAGGTGTTTGGTCTTCAACCAGTCTATCTGCTTAAACTAGACACTTGGCATGATTTTTTTAAATTCTGCTAATCCTTTCCCCACTCTGTGTGTTCATGTACTGTCCCCTTAAGAACGTACTACCGCACGTTTAGTCACGTAACTCTGCCACTTCCACTCTGCGACATGGAAGCTAAGTCTACGTTCTCACAGCAGGTAAAAGTGGCTCAAATCTGATTTTCTCACCGAATCGAATCTTTTTGTTTGGCTGTTCAGATTATCTTTTAAATGTGATCTGTATGCGACATCAGTCTGAACAGATCAGCTCCTAAACTGACCCACATGCACTAAAGAACAGAGCGTCACGCTGCTTCACGGCTCATCCAGAGGTGAACAATCACGACCGCCAACGAACGCCAGTCGCTCCCGGAGGATCAGCTTCATCTTCACCAGCATCACAGGAGCCATCATGAAGCTGCACTGACTGACAGCTGAACCCAAATGTTTATGAGGTCTCAGCTGAGCGAAATTATGACGAATGTTGAGTTGGATTGACGTAAAAGCTGCATGAATTACGTTCTGGCTATAGAGACGATTTACATTAAGATATGCAGAACATATTTACAGTACAGACCTTTTCAGTAAACTACGAGGGCAAAATAAAAATTATATTATTTATATATATATATAAAAATTGTAAATTAATCGTAAGTGAAGTAAAACATTCAATTAATCGTGATATTGATTTGAGGTCATATCGCCCAGCACTACTTCAGAGGTGTGGTTTGAGCCAACTGTGTGATAATACAGACATGCAAACTGAACAGTCTTAGGTGGTGTCTATAAGCTTCCATTACCTGTTAGCTACATTAGTCTTTGAGTGCAAGGAGCTCTAGTGCAAATCTAAAGATCAGCAAGAACACCAAACATGCCTTGGCTGATCAATGATCTTTGGGGTAAGGAGCATTTTGTGTAAATGTGGTTCTTTGCCGAACTAGACATTCAAATATAACAAAATCATGATGATGCCTTCTAGTCTAGACACGTCGGTAAACACTGGTGTGCCAATTTAATACTCACCAAAATCTGATGGGCGTACATCGGGCGGGACAAGAAGAAGGCTGCATCATGGGGTGTGTGGAACTGGTTACAGAGGATGTCCACGGAGGGCACCCGCTTGATGTAGTCCTCCGTGCTGAGGTTGGACGCCAAGAAGACGCCGAACTGCACCAGGGTGTCATGACACTGAGGAGAGAGGGACAGAAAAGTGGACCCATTCATCATTAGACAAGGTTCTCCCCTCTGTTCCCTGCTCATTTCCCGGCCAAATGCAGATGCTCTTAATAAATCCTCGGGTTGCTCATTTATTTGGGGGACTGCACCTTGCTTTATTAAAGCCATTCATCACCAGGAGCCCTCCCTGGAAATCGATGGGATGCCCAGTAAAGCAATTTAGTGGAAGAGAGGCGCTGGGGAAGCGGTCTCCAAACCTCGCCGGTAGAAAATAAGGAGAAAGGAGCAAAGCACAGGCCGAGCCCTTGGTCAACCATTACTGAGGTTTTTAATATTCTTCACCATAAGTGCCGCTGCCGTCCAGCGCCAAAAGGACAGGGAAGAAGTAGGGCAACAGGGAATAAAAGCTGCACCTCAGCAGTGTGAATTCAACACAGGGGCTTCGCTTTAATAACACATTTATATTCTTGCACTTGGACAAACACAACATGTAGCTTACAAGGAGATCAAAAAGTTTTTGTGCACGTTGACCAAAAAAGAAAAACAACCAGTTTTAGTCTGAAAACCATGACCTAAAAAGTACCAGGGCTGCAGCAAATGAGTATTAAAGCACTGACTAATCTGTCATATATCCACTTAACTGCAGGGCTGGCCTGAACAGCAGTTTACAGGCTTTGGCAACTCCTTGGAATTAGCAAGCGAACACCCAAGACTCGTTCTCAAATACACACTTAAGACAATAATATTTACGTTTCATTATTAACCAGTTTTAATCATAGTAATCGCAAAATATATCCAGCAGATGTCAACAATGTATTAACATGCCTGCGCGTTTGTACATTGCTATCACCAAACACACAACTGTAGCCCTGTAGCTCAAATAGAGCTTTAGTAAGTCACTTGTATCACTAAGGGTATGAACCTTTATTTACCATACTTACTGTTTTAGTTTAGTTTAAATTCTTTTTAGTTGTTATTTAATCAAGCAATTTTATCTGGTTAGGTTTTTATTATGATTATGTAAAAGGAGGACGACAGGCAGGCTGAACCGAGCTCAGGTCACAGCGGATCTACAGGGTAGCAGAGCAGAGGACTGTCGGAATGTATGGACGATCGCCCTGGAAGCTGTTAGGCTCAGAGGACACAGACTCCAACACACCAAACGAATACTGAAGCCTTTGGATTATTCAAGCCTGCGTTAATTAACTGATTAGGCCACCATGTCACAGGTAATGGATCACATCATCTAGATTTTTGGTGTGTTTGTTTTTTCTTAAACTGGTTAGATCTCTTTCCAATTAAACACCAGTCTACACAATCGCTCTGAAAACTTAACAGGGCTTTTAACTAAAACACTGAAGTGTGGTCAGTTTCTTTCCCCCCAATTAAGAACACAGTTTGGCAACAACTGAAGCTTTAGACAAAAAGGCAGTGCGTAAGCAGCAAGATAATGCTAAACTTCGGTAGTACTTTTAATCACTGTACCATTCTAGGCTGCAATTACATTAAGTTCAGAATTTCTGAATTGGGTTAAACCTTATGAATTAGGCTTTTCTTCTAACAGCAAATTTATCTGCTGCATAAAATACTCAACAGAAGTCTTTGTGATTTGTAGCCTTTGCAGAAAGTGTGTTCACAGTTCACAACATTCCTATGTTGCAAATGAATTCGCTGTCTAGAACATTACCAGAAATAAACGTAAAGCTAAGCCTCATAGGACTAACAAAAGCATGTGATGTTACAAATAAATAGCTCTTCAGCTTTTAATTACAATTGCCTTTTACTTATATGATGCCACCATCGTTAAGTTGTTGTGTGATTTCTTGCAGATAACTCTGAATGCAAACTCTACGGCTCTCACCAAAACTATGAGTGACTGCTGCCGTAGTACCATAAATAGATGATGTCTGCAGTTTTTCGGTGGATGATTTAAAAAAATTGGCAATTCCATCCCTTCAGTAGTCATTTCTCACATACTGCCCACAGTCAGTCTTTAAAAAGAAGACACAGTTTTAAAAACGAAAAATGTTAAAAATTCTTATCACTTTTTGTTTCTTGCCAATAAGAAAAAAATGGTACCTTGAAAGGAAAAGGAAAAAACCTACTTTACTTTTCATGTAAGTCAACAGAACCAGACTTTTTGCCCTTTTTCACCATACTTCTTGTGCGCACATAAAAGCAAAACAGGTGGTCCCAGATCATGCCTTTTGCTTTTGGCACATAGAGAGCTGGGATTTTTCATAGTGCCTTTTTGGGCCTCAACACTTTTAAAAAGCTTCTAAAATTAAACAAAATTACTAAAGAAAAAAAAAAATCAAATGGCCACAAATCCACATAAACATTAGTCTGATATTGGAATTGTGGTCATTATTCACAACCAATTTTAACCTGTCTAACACAGCACTGCATACATACACATACAGAGTACAGGGTAAACCTCTTTTAAACTCCAAAAAAGTACAAAAACTGTTTTTTTTGAGGGATGTTGATCCGTGCATCGTTTCATCGCGCTGTGCATCCCACCATTTCATCAGACCTCTCATTAGACCCTCGAACCTGTGCTCTGCTATTCCAAACAGCAAGCCAGCAGGAGAGTGAAGGCCCGGAGCGAGGAAGCATCTGGAGGTGCCTATCCAGGGACCACCACTCCCCACCCCCCTGCCCTCAGAAACAGCTGCTGCAGTCTGCGCTGTGCACGAACAGCATCTCGTTAGAGCTGGGCTCTTCTCTGGGACTCGAGCAAAAGGAAAGCCTGGCTGCGCTCAGAGAGCGGTAACTATGAAAACGGACATCAAAGGAGGCCCAAGATTGCTTTGGCCCCCTTTTCACAGCTCTAATCGCTTCTGAGTGACACAGCTCCCCTTAGGAATTAGCCACTGCTCAGAGATAGGCCTCCTTCTAACTTTTTCCTGCCCTCTCTACCTATTTGCGGCCTGTAACGTCTCTGCTGCTTACTGTGACTGTGGGGCTGTGATGCTGCAATGATGAGAGGTAAATGGGGTTAGTTGTTACCATTTCTTGCGGCTTTTGCATGGACAGCGGAGAGAACATGATGAGGTGCAAGCTAGTCGAGCGGTTTGGCTCAACAGAAGTGAAGTCATCCTTACTGAAAGGTCAGAGTGGGGTAATACTGTTTGCAGGGTCAGGCTGCCCTCTGCAGTCTACTTCAACAAGCACAAGGCGTTTAAGACTGGGTCACCAAAAAAAGCTTCCCGAAGAGTTTCTCTGGCGGATGGTCAATGTTCTGCAACATCAAAGTCACTCATAATTCACTGGGTATAAAGGCCAACTGAACAAAATTTCTCTGAAGCACAGAAAAAAGTAGATGTGATTCATTTATGGCATTTACATTATGCAAAGTGATGTTTTTAGCTCTGACATTTGATGCTGAATGGTGGGTGGGGGGCTTAATTGCCTCACTGATTCATACATTTGATACATAAATATTTACCATTCAGCCATATTAAGAAAAAACCCACCAAGCATTATAGCCTCTTAAACAGCATCCGCAATTATTAAACTGTAATGTACGTAACGGTGCCAAAAACTCAAATTAATATGTATGTACATCTTCATTTGAATAACAGACCCAGTACCCGCGGCTCGGTACCTTCGTAGAGACGAATCGCTTGATAAACATTAAGGGGTACCATTCATCAACATCACAACATGCTGCCTTGTATTGCCTAAGAGATGTTAAGTGCGTAAAATAAGGCCAAGCTATACAAGCTACTAATTCAGTGCATTTTTGGATAACAGCGCAAGCAGATTTTTCAAGGTGCCAAAGGGGGCTTATGCATAAATCATGCAATCACATTCAATGCATATTCAATGGCTGAGATGAGTCGATCAATCTCGGCGGAGCATCATGGGGAGATATGGCTGGCCTGACACATTTCAACTGATTGTAATGAGGTGCGCACAACTTCCTGCGCAGGAGGAGAAAAACAAGCCCAAATTAATAATTAAACCGCTTCCCCGCCGAGGTCAGGAAAAAGCGTGTTGCACATTCACACCACGAGCAATTATTCCCACAATCCAGCGTCGCGAGGGTGAATTTGCTAAAAGCTCTAATTTGAGACATTCAAAGAGGGGTGCGAAAAAAGAAAAAAATAAAAAAGGAGGGAAAAAATGAGCTCAACTGACGGCGTCATTCTGTAGCTCCACACAAAATGGAGCTGATGATGTGATGTTGAGTTTTTAGCACCATCTGCTGAGGCATGTCTTGAAAATGTGGAGGAAATGAACAGTGGGTTGGATTACCCAGTGAGTAATTGAGCTATGCAGCTGGGCAACATGAAAGGCAAACTATGTGTTTGAGCGAGTGTGAGAGTGAATGTGCCTGTGAGAATCCCAAAAACTATCGCAAACTCCCACAGCAAAGCTTACGAACAGTAAAAAAAACTTCATGCTATGCCATTTGGAACATTTCAGCAAGCCCAAATTTGGCAGATAGGGTACCTGATCATAGAGTTTGCCCACTAGTTTGAGATGTTTCTCTCCACCCTCTGAAAAGACCACGCCGTTCCTCTGCTGAGCCATCAGTAGACAAAGAGGGAGGGCCAGCTCGTGATCCAGCAGGGAGTCCTTCAGACGCTGAGACGACTTCTTTGTGTTCCTGATCTGGCCGAAGTAGCCTCCCTACACAAACAAAAAGAAAAAGTATGATTCAGTCACAAGCAAGTAGATTATACATAACATTATGACCACCTCCTTGTTTCTACGCTCATTGTCCAGTGCTCAAACTCCAGCAGCACTGCTGTGTCTGATCCACTCAGACCAGCGCAACACACACTAACACACCACCACCACGTCAGTGTTACTGCAGTGCTGAGAATGATCCACCACCCAAATAGTATCTGCTCTGTGAGGGTCCATGGGGGTCCCGACCACTGAAGAACAGGGTAAAAGGGGGCTAACAAAGTATCAGAGAAACAGATGGACTACAGTCTGTAACTGTAGAACTACAAAGTGCACCTATATAGTAAGTGGAGCTGATAAAATGGATAATGAGTGTAGAAACAAGGATGTCAGAATGTTATGCCTGATTATATATATATATATATTGCAAATAATCACACTGCAGTAAGAGTCGATTCCAGCAGGTAAAATGTATCTTGTCAACACTTAAAAGATCTTATGTTTCTTTGCTTAAACACAGAATTTACTCAATGTATTAAGTTATTTTTACTTCTCACTCTCAAGTAAACAACTGAGAACCTCATTCTGCCAATGGTTAGTCTGACTTCATAGATAAAATGTACAAACTAGTTCATTATAGGCATTTGTAAGGGTACCACTAGCGCTACCTAAAAATCTTCTGTGGGGTCCTACTGCAGTGACCTAAGCAATTTTGGGTGAGAGCTAATTAGAGCAAAGGCTTCCTGCATTGCAAAGAACAAAGAAGCAAGTACAGCCTGTCCTGCTAACCTAAAATGATTTGGAGCAAAGGGGAGACTCAAAAAAAAAGAAGAAAAAAAATGACTAAAAATGTTGTTTTTAAGAGGGGATAGCTCAGAGAAATTCACCACACTGTTTAAAAGTTTTACTGTTAGAGGAATGGAACTGGCCTGTGGAGGTAGACAAGCCTCAAACCTAGGGGTGGGAATCACAAACAAAACAAAGATACAACAAACAGATATTTTGACATTTGAGCCATGATGAGATTCTATCGTCATTTGTAAAGATTTGTGAGATGCTAAGTATTGTCACGACACCAATTCACCCTACTTGACTACATGTTTACTTCTCACTTCAATCTTTCTTTACTAAAGGAAAACAGAATTGGGAAGGACAACCCAACATTCTGCTAAATATGTAAATACACCGATCAGGCATAACATTATGACCACCTCCTTGTTTCTACGCTCATTGTCCATTTTATCAGCTCCACTTACTATATAGGTGCACTTTGTAGTTCTACAGTTACAGACTGTAGTCCATCTGTTTCTCTGATACTTTGTTAGCCCCCTTTTACCCTGTTCTTCAGTGGTCAGGACCCGCATGGACCCTCACAGAGCAGATACTATTTGGGTGGTGGATCATTCTCAGCACTGCAGTAACACTGACGTGGTGGTGGTGTGTTAGTGTGTGTTGTGCTGGTCTGAGTGGATCAGACACAGCAGTGCTGCTGGAGTTTTTAAACACCTCAGTGTCACTGCTGGACTGAGAATAGTCCACCAACCAAAAATATCCAGCCAACAGCGTCCTGTGGGCAGCGTCCTGAAGATGAAGGACTAGAGGATGACCAACACAAACTGTGCAGCAGCAGATGAGCTATCGTCTCTGACTCTACATCTACATGGTGGACCGACAAGGTAGGAGTGTCTAATAGAGTGGACAGTGAGTGGACACGGTGTTTAAAAACTCCAGCAGCACTGCTGTGTCTGATCCACTCGTACCAGCACAACACACTAATACACCACCACCACGTCAGTGTTACTGCAGTGCTGAGAATGACCCACCAGAGACATTTATCCTGCATTCACACTGGCAGCAACACAACGTGACAAAGCAGCTGGAAGTCATTCATGTTCAGTGAGGGCTGGTGATTTCAGACGACAGGAGGCTGCGTGAACGTTGGCAACACGACAGAGATAACCGGATTTTTACTTTATGCAAATAAGGATCAAAGCAATGTGGCAATTGCCAATAAAAACTGAGCACCGAGCAACATAGTATGCGCATTATCTCCGCCACTGTGAAACGGTACACTCTTTTTTTGGTTCCTAGATAACTGTTCCCACTACACGTGGAATAATGGTGGCGGTGTGTTCGTCGCAAATAGACAGTAATCGAAAAGACCAAGCACTGTGTTCCTCACGTACTGACTGCACAGACACGAGGATTAAATAAAAATAAGCACTCAAGCGATTTCTCACCAGGACTTTTATTTCTAGCGGGAATGCATCTGATTTGTGCTTGGCGTCACTGAAACCATGGCAACCGACTGCCATTTCGAGTTTAGAAACGTCCACAGGCAATGAGTGACCAACGATTTGGGCGTCAAAAGGTGAAAAGCCGCTGCTGGTGTGAACGCAGGGTTACAGTGGTAGGTGAAAGCAGTGTTGAGTCTTGCCCAAAGACAAAGATTCCTACTGATATTACAATGGCAACTCCTGATTACTGCCTGGATGGGGAATCAAACCCCGACCTTCCAAGTGTGGGGTGATAACATCACCCACCACTACTTGGTACCACTCTGTTCCACCAAGACACCTGGCACCAGGATTTTAACCTGATTTTCTCCCCAATTTAGTCGTCTAAACAGAGTGGTATCCGATCAGGTACGATAGCTCCCAACACTTTCCTGTCAGCACAAACGTCGGCCTACACAACCACCTAGAGTGTTTTTCTCTTAAAGAAGCTCCACAGTGAGGATATCCACTATGCTGTCCAGTCACTCCTAACAGTGCAACCAATGGCAGAAGTCTTGGACTCACCACAAAAACAAAAAACATGACTTCTTCTCAGTGCCATCCTGCAGACTAGAAAACAATGAACGTGGTGTCCTATTTGTTTTCAAAGCACTTAACGGGTCAGGCCCCCCCGTATGTTGGCAGCATGCTTACTCTCTCTACCACACAGCAAGCTTTGAGATCATCATCCTCGCAGAACTTGCTGGCTGTTCCTATATGGGCTCGTTTGAAGCTTAAAGGTGATTGTGCGTTTGCAGTCTACGCTCTGAGTCTATAGACCATTCTACTGCCCACTGTTCGCCACCTTCAATCGCTGTTTTTAAATCAAGACTAAAATCATTTATACAAACTTGCATTTGGGGCTGTGGTAATTACACATGTTAATTACATGTACATTTTTTTTACTCATCTGTTTTTTATTTCGCTTTTAATCTTTTATTCACTTTTTTCTTCCCTAATTTATTCCTTATTATTTTTTTTATTTTAATCTCTTACTTGTTGTGTTGTTTGTGTGTGTGCTGATTTGATGTACAGCACTTTGGTCAACGCAAGTTGTTTTAAGAGTGCGTTATGAATAAAACTTATTTACTTACTATTGGTCTACCAATGGGCTACTATTTTTCACTCAAAATATCTCAATACTGCATTTTACCGATGTTCTCAGACCCCTAGTCAAAAGAATCCCTGTTGGGGACTAAAATCAAGGTGATGTCAGACAGTTGGTCAGACTTGGTATGCATAATTACGTTGTGTGTTTCTGATTATGTTCATCCATAACAGTCAGGCTAATTTTCACTCTGAAACCTTTAAGATTTCTGTACCTCTGCTTTGAGCTGCTCTCCTCCAGTCATGGCCTCCAGCTGTTCCACGGTCATCTCGTCAGTGATTTCAATCCCCGCCATCTTCTGCACCACCTCCTTCAGGATCAACAGGTCAAAACTGTGGACAGAGGAATGGATGCAGTGGTTGTTTTAAAGCAGGACAGCAAACGAGGCCACATCAACACGGCTGAGTGATGAAGAACCGAAGGCACAGGTGTTCGATCATGGCTTCACATCTACAACAACTCGGAGCCCCTCGAAGCAAAAACGCAAAATAAAGAGGAAAATTAGTCGGAATCGCAGGAGCAGGAGAGCAGCACCGTTCTGTCACTGCTGAGTCAGGTCAATCAGAACAGCAGACAGGGGCTGCAGTGGGTTCAAAGGCAGTGAAAGAGGACGGGAGGCTTTTGAGACACCATGTTAAACGCTAACAGGACCCGACAGCAAGGACACACGCAAAACCTGCACTCGTCCTATTCTACTGTACCTGGATTTGGGCAGCTATGTTATCAGGGAGGTAAGTGTGCGGCTCTTTCAGAGGAGCTTTTCAAAAGTAAGTCACAGCTCAGCATTAACAGGCACATCAAGGCCCTTCCTCGCACAATCGGGCCTTTGAGAATGAGGATCGGGCTGACGAGGCAGCTGCTCGCACCCAGAGCACACATACACACTCAAAAATCTGAGTCAGAGACACACTCAGCCTAAGTGACTGACGAACATGGACACGGACACATTCTCACACACCAGAGATGTCAAGTCCTTTCGTGCGAGTCCGAGGCCAGTTGCGAGTCACTGAATTTTGAGTGTGAAACTCACGTCTTCAGTGGAGAATTTTTGCTTAGTCTCGTTATTAGCTGCACAAAAGTAAACTCTACTAAAAAACCTGTCAGTTTCAATATGACTTCAAATAACAAGCCTTCATTACAGAAAACCCTTCAGACTGAAGGACGGAGCTGAAGCACTACATGCAAGTGCTAAAAAAAGAGGCAAAACAACTTAAAAACGGTTGGTTAGTCTGTAGTTTATATAACATAAGCCATCTAAAGCTATCCAGTAGAAACCTAAGCGAGTTACTGGCCAACAAGCTAGTATGTGCTCTTTGTGGCAACTTGCTGTCCAAACTGTGTGCTAGCCCACCAAGCAGTTTTGCCTCGTTGCTTTAAACATGACCATTTATTGCATGTAACATTCCGTTCTGTCCATTAGACAAAGGTTCTTCTACAATGAAATGAAAAGTATTTGAAGCTGTATCAACCCTAAAGCTGCTGTGAGCTGACAGGCAAAGTTACACATAAGGCTGGAAACGAAAGGTTGTATTTACAGGGTGATTCAAAAAGATTGATCCAATTTCAAAGCACCATATTTTTACAACCGTGAGGCGCCGAGGAACCAATCACAATCCAATTGAAAGAGGGGGTCATAGAGTTTCTGACTGGCTCCCTTCAGTCTGAAAGGAGATGAGACCCCTGAGCAGAAAGCGTTCTGCGTTCTCCACTTCAATAAGAGTGAATCCGTCATAACTGTGCAGCGTGATTTTTGTGGGCAGTGAAGCTCCAACAGCTCAGAGCGTTCGTCGTTGGTTCCACAGCACTGGATGATCTCCGAAATCACACTGAAAGAGCCGTGAGTGCAGCGACACCCGACATGCTCAATCCAGTATGGATGAGTTTGACTATGGCGTTGATGTTGTCTGTACAGCTGGAGGAGGTTCAGACTGAGACCTTATAAAATTACATAAACTTTATTCTCATTTAAACCATTTACAGTTCACTGCACTGATCTGTAATGATTTACAAGTGAAATAAATCATTTTGAAATCAGATGAATCTTTTTGACTCACCCTGTATTTACCGCATTATGGTTGGCGGTCCTCATTATTTATTCAGTTTTGAAATACCCACAGGGTAACAGCTGCAGGCACTGCACTGTACAAAAGCTCTAATAAAAATCTGTCAGGTTGAAAATACACGTCTTTCTTTACAGAAAACCCTTCAGTCTGAGGGACAGAACTGAAGCAGTACATCAGCTTAAATGCAGAGTTTAAAGAAAGAGTCAAAACAGCTTGAAAACACTGGTTAGCCTGTAGTTTTTTAAGTATGTAAGCCTGCAAGCTCACGCAAACCAGCTGAAACTTTAGTATGTTTTAAAGTGGTCTGTAACTTAGACTATCTAGATTTGCCAAGAAGCAAAAACTTGCTGACTTGTGCTAGCCAGCATACTTCCTGTCCAAACTACATGCTATCCAACAGTTTCAAGTTGCTTTGCATCTCTTTTCTTTAAAATTTATGGCATTTCACTGTGGTGCTTCATTCTGTCCACCAGCCCAAAGGTTCTTCAGCCACTACAAGCTCATTGGAACAGCATTACAGTAATGAATGCAAAACTGACAGCTAAAGTTTCACATGTAAGGCTGGAAATTAAAATGTTGTGTTTATTTACTGCAGTAATGTTGGCAGGCGTAACTTAACCAGTTTTGTTTGTGTTCTTTCTTCTCAGCCTAATACTTCCTAAAATTTAAGCCCTGGGTCCGAGCTGAGCCGAGTCCAAGCCAACGTGCGATTCTCGTCCGAGTCACCGAGTCTCTAACACACCCACACCCACACCCACACACACACACACACACACACACACACACACACACACACACACACCTCTTTCCTGCCTTCAGCTGGTTGGTAACATACTGGAGGAGGCCAGCCAATTCAATGGGGTACTTCCGGAAAACTGCCCCACAAAGGCTGGCAAGACCTATAGGGAGACAAATAAGTGCAAGGAGGTCAGAATGCAGAGCAAAAAAAAAGCCAAGAAAAAGGTTTAAGCCTTAATGACGAATATATTTGTGTTTAAATTAATAAAGACAACCCTGAGTGCACTGAAAAGTGCCTTGACAAGCAGCAAGGTCAGACGCTCCACAATGACATTTGAAAGTCTATTAACTCTGATGTTGGTTAGATCAATTTTATCAAGCTTTAGAGAATGTCCAGGGGGCTTTTAGGGAAAGAAGGGGAGGAGATATCAGAAACTCACTTTGAAGCCAAGATGAAATAGTAGTGTCGTCATGCTTCATCTTCTCTTTCTCCGGGTTAGCTAGAGCTTCGATAATACAATCTACCAGTAGGATCAAGGGCTAGAACATGCACAGCCTTCTTATCTTTCAAGATACAACATCAGTATTGAATGGCAAACACTATTTGATAGATCTCTTAAATATGCACAAACTATTACCACCACAACTGTTCAGTTTTAGCAACAGAACTACGAAAACATTTTTTACTTCTCTTCTAAACAATGTAGATACGCCACTCGGGTTTGAACTATTACCCATTACCGAGAGTGGAAACAAATAACAGGGTTGGAGTTTTGAGGGGATCAGCAAGTTCCTACAAGAGCGCTCATTACGCCGGGGGGGTTGGGGAGCACAGAGCAGGATTATTATCCTGCTCGGAGGTGGGCGGTGGGGCGTAATTATCAGCAAGCAAGAGGGAAAAGGATACAAGCCAGCACATCATAGTTGAGAGAGGTGAGGTATTTCAGAGAGTCCACCACAGGGGTGATGAGGTTGTCATACCACTGGATCTGCGAGAGAATCTAAACACATACAAAACAAAGCAATTATAATTCATGGTAGTTGTTCAGGTTTGTAACACATATTCCAGTGCTTTAATGTTAGACTTACTTTTCAGGTAAGCCTTTATTATTATTATTATTATTATTATTATTATTATTATTATTATTATTATAAAGTAGCTACTACGAATTATTTACAGGGATGCACCAACATAATTGATAATCAATATCTTACTGTGACCAACGTCAGCCTTTACAAAGGCTAAATATTAGGTACTAATAATTTCACATAGTCATGACCTAGATAAAATGGATTGTGAGAATTACTGCACATTGTTATATAAATGTATTTTAATTACTTAAAAGACACTCATTCAAATGTAGTTCAAGGACTTATTATGTCATTGTCTCACTGGTTTGCGTGATTTTATCCACTTCCAAGCTAAAAATACAACTTATTTTTTGCAGTTGTCAACCACATGTTCAATATTAGCCCAATAATTAACTTTTTATCTTCATGACCAGAAGTAACATGTTCAAAATTCATCCAGAAACCCCACTAATCAATGATTTCATCACTATCAGTGATAGAGCAGGACGTTCTGCAGCAGTCACACATAAAAGGTCATTATGTTCAATGCATAAGTCAGCTAGAGGGGTGTAAGTCCCCCAGGATTGGCCTGTTGAGCTGTCGACAAACTTTTGGACATATAGTTACATATTGGCAGCAGGTATATTGTGCATCCCAAACAGTATCTACTACAGGGAGATTCACTCGAAAGAGGCCCCGAATATTCTGTACTAACTCTCTCTAGGATGAAGCAATCTGAACGAAACAACGTGCACTGTGCTCCTCGGTATATGGACCTTCGAACAAGCCGGGATGCTCCTGCGACGGAGCGATGAGGCCTCCGTTTGCAACTTCCGGGTACATACCCCTGTGCCCCCCCCGTACTGAGCAGCTCGTCTTCGTGGTGCAAACCTACTGGGTCACCAACTCGTTTAAGCGATGTCAGAGTAAATTTAGGAAGGAATATGATGTTTGTGACGTACCCTCAAAGAGTGTAATTCAAAAGATGGAACGGAAACTGGAATGACGGGATCACTGATCCCTTCTCATGGTGCAGACCGTACGAATATGTTTCAGGACGCAATCGATGACGTGCAACATCGTCTGCAGCAATTGCCTACGAAACCTCTGAGACGCCTAGCACAGGAGACTGGGAGGTCTTATTCAACATTTTTTTCAGATTGCTTCATCCTAACGGGAGTTACAACAGAATATCTGGGGCCTCTTTCGAGTGAATCTCCCTGTATGAAACTGATCACTAAACTAAAAAGTTTTATTTGTGCCTGGAAATGAAATAAACAAAGAACGATCACTGATTTGTACACAGCACTGTATTTGTACTGACCAGGTCTTCTGAATGTAAGGGGTTAAAATCTTGACACAGTAGTACAACGACTAATTTCCCAATAAAGCAACTCTGATTCTTCAGCCAACTGCATCTATGGTTTCTAAGCTTAGTGAATGTCAGAACTCAATGACATCTATAATTACAGTCTTCAGAGGAAGGGTGTTAGTGGGAGATGATGGTGCTGCCTCCACTGCTTTTAACAGGGATATGAGAGAGAGAGAGAGAGAGAGAGAGAGAGTGAGTGAGAGAGAGAGAGAGAGAGAGAGAGAGAGAGAGAGAGAGAGTGAGAGAGAGAGAGAGAGAGAGAACGTAGCGGAAAGGGAGCTTTTCTGCACAACTGCAGTCTTTGACCGTCTCCGGAGCGGCGCCGTTTCCGTCAGAGACTATCTCGCCCTTTTTGTCTCACTCGCAGGTTCTTCTGGAATTCTCTCTGAAATGCTAACGAGCTTTGGGCTCTGCGGCGCTCTCCTCAAGGCGTCCCGAAGGAGCCTGCCCTCTCCCGCGGCTCCAGACGTGCACCATATTAGCGATGACGTCAGAGCTCGATTTTCATTTCACATAGCACTGGGCATTCTGCGTGACGTCTCGTGGCTAGGCACTAGGAATAAAAAACGTTGTTTGAAAATATGGATTCAGCCACACCCACTGCTAAGAGGTGCATAAAATCAAGCACAAGGCCATACGATCTCCATAGATGCCTCTAGGGGTGCAGGAAAAACTTGATTCTTAGATGCATCGCGATGCGGACGTGAACGATTCTGAATCGATTCACAAATGTCAAAAATCGATTTTCTGAATATTTAATTTATAACGTAATGTTGATGGAACGCAAAAGGCGGAACTGGAAGTGGGTAAGTGCAGCGCCCGGACAGTCTGTGGCGGCACACAACAAAAACACAATGGATGAGTGAGAAATCCGACCGGCTCCCTCTGCATTAAAGCCAGGTTAGGTCAGGAGTCACAACACAAATGTTAAGAAGAGCCATTTTGACCTTTCAACAAAGTCAAACCACCTTAGGAGCCACAACATTTAATGTCCAGTATGTGTTAATGTCCTAGTATGGGCTAAAAATATAAACGAGAGCGCAGATTTACTCCGCTCTGCTTTAAGCTTTAGCTTTAGCCGCTTTCCTCCCATCTCCGCCAGAAAACCTTCCTTCAAAACTAGAAGAGTTTCTTGTAAAATGTCTCAGCGTCCGGCTGTTTTACGAGGCTGAAGTCGCTTCTCATTCGCCAGCTTCTCTGTCTAATTTTCCCGTTTCACCTTAAATTCTGCTTTAGGCGCCGAATGTAACTGCTGCACCTTTTAAGGTGGAACGGGAAAATATGAAAGAGAAGCGAGTTCATTTTCCCACATTTTTTTTTAACTCTCGTTGCAGATTTAACCAACCGCGCTGCTTATAAATGCGAATAAGTCTCCAAATGTTCGTCTTAATCTCTGTTTTCTCGTTCGCTACTGGCGAGGCCAGACTTCGGTGCTGTGTGACCTGCTGTCTGCTGTCTGTTCTCAGTCGTTGAGAACCAGGGCTTTCGCGCTATGCTGCACACTGTGGAGCCGAGATTCAGCGTCCAGTCTTAAAAATACACCCCCCCCCCAACTCTCTACAACGAGACCAAAACTGAAGTTATAAGATCACTAAAGAAAATGGGAAGGACGGCTGTAACGCGCTGTGTGGACACCATCACCACTGGATCTTATTTCCGGGCAACAGCGCATTTTATCGCAGATGAGTGGCAGCAGCGTCTCTCACTGAGAGCCTTCTAGTTCACTTGCCACATCACTTCCATTTGATTTATTAATAAAATATATTTTAGATATTTAAAGCAAAGTATTTGTAATGATCCGTAATGCATTTACATTCTAGATCATTACAAATACTTTGCTTTAAAACTACCAAGTCCTCAGACAGTAGGAAGATAGAAATCCTGTATAGAGAAAAAGATGCATTGAAATGCATCGATAATCGTTTTATAATCGCATCGCAGCCTCTGAATCGTAATCGAATCGAATCGTGAGGTGCCTAAAGATTCCCACCCCTAGATGTCTCTGTGTCAGGAGCTTTCTGGAATGGGTTTCCACGGCTGAGCAGCTGCATACAAGCCTAAGATCACTATGCGCAATGCCAAGCGTCGGCTGGAGTGGTGTGAAGCGCCGCCACTGGACTCTGGAGCAGTGGAACCGTGTTCTCTGGAGTGATGAATCAGCTTCAGTATCTGGCAGCCTAATGGACAAATCTGAGTTTGGCGGATGACAGGAAAACGTTACCTACCAGAATGCATAGGGCCAACAGTAAAGTTTGGTGGAGGAGAGCTAATGGGCTGGGGCTGTTTATCAGGGTTTGGGCCCCTTAGATCCAGTGATGGGTAATAGCTGCTACAGCACACAAAGACAATTTAGACAATTGTATACCTTCCAAATTCACGGAAACAGTTTGGAGAAGGCCTTTTCCTGTTCAAGCATGACTGAGCCCCTGTATACAAAGCAAAGTCCATCAAGACCACTTGGCCCTTAAACGTTTTGTGCTTTCACACCTAGGGTTTGAGTGTCCCGATTATTGTTGAGATAGAGGGGCAGGGTGAAGTGTTATAACTACATGATCCTTCAAACAGAGTGATATGAGAAAAAAGGAAAAACCGGCAAGATGGAGCACAAGAGACCAAAGAAATGTGAGAATTTTTTCTGTTAAAAATTACAATAACCATTGTTTTATCTTAGTTTAATGTCGTTTCAATGTATTATGGTCCTTTTCTTCATAACAAGCATAAAAAAAAAAATCGCTAATAGTATGCTAATGTCTCGGTAGCTAGCTAGCTAACTATCCCGTTCCACCTTAAATAGTCCAGCGGTACCGACGCCTGAAGCGCTAGAATGTAACTACTGCTCCATTTAAGGTGGAACAGGAAAATTCGAACGAGAAGTTGGCGAATATCTGACTTCAGCTTCATATCACTGAAGAATTAATTGGTGGGCGATAATAAATAATAATTATTAAGTATTATTAATGTGCAAAATAATCACATCAAATCTCTTTGAAGGCATATGATGCCCTAAATGTAACTAAAGCCCAGCAGTGAGGAGCTGAACTTTACCCTCCTCTGCTGTCACTGCAGACTGGCAGGGTCGCCTACAGAGCAGCGCTGGTAGCTGTTAATGAAGTGATGCTCTTTTTATTTGAGGGAAGATTTCAATCCCTATCCCTTTTAGCTTAGTTCGAAGGGGCAAGGCGACACTCGAAAATAAGGGGTAGGGGTAAAAATAAGAAATAGGATTGGGCCATGGTTTGACCAGTTAGGTGTGGGGGAACTCTTAGGATGAATTGGAACATCAATTGTGAGCCAGGCCTTCTTATCCAACATCAATCCCTGACCTCACCAAATGCTCTTTTTACTGACTGGGCATGAACTCCCACAGATATTACCTTGTTTATATGTTAAATCACATGCCAAAAACAGTGGTTCTCAAATCAGACCTTAGGGACCCTCAGACAGTTCCCATTTTCGCTCTACGCCTGTGTTACAAGTTAGGCTGGAGCCTTTTGGATCAAGGTCCCTGAGAACTGGGTTGAGAGCCTCTGCCCTAATACAACAAGATCACTAAATCAACAGGTATGAATCACCTCCTGATACTGCCGCATGTAATAAGAGTTAAACCTGTTGCAGACTCTTATTTTACGCATAAGAAACACAACAAATTAACAGCACATTCTTGTTGGGATAGTTAAATATTAGTCAACTAAAAAAGCTAACTGACTTACCAAAAACTGTTCCAGTCCCCCTTCCTACTAGTGATGGTGCAGAGCGCTTTGTATGCATTTATTCTTATTGTTCCAGTGCACCTGCAGTAAATCTGGACGCACGTGACCATGCCGGACCCCGCTGACTAATCGAGTCGGTCCGGGGGAGCTAAATTTAGATTTGTGTCCACCGTTTCGGCGTTAGGCCGGGGCAGCGGGTTTATAAATGCACTTTTTAATCTTGGGAGCAATGAAAATTGATGGCACGTTGCAGATAATAAAGGGGCCCAGTAAAAGCCTGTCATTAGTCTAGCCGACCATTATGGCCGTCACGAGTGATAAAACACTCACATAATCAAAGAGAATGGTGGGGTTACTGTGGCTCAGCTTGCCAATCTGCCTCCCTGAGGGCTTCACGTTCTCCTTGGTCAGTCGCCTAGAGAATAAAAGAAAGGAGAAGAAGAAAAAAAAAGGGGAGAGAACAAGAAAAAGTTTAGAGAGAAGTTTAACATCACATTCACAGCTTCTTGTTACATTTGAATGCTTCTCCAACTGACATTAAGATCTAAATAGGAATTCTTCACACTGATTTGAATTCTCACAAACAGCTCATTGATGATGGGGGAGAACTGCAGTGAGCTCCAGGAAGCCATCAACACTTGCAGTACAATGACAGCTCTAATGAACGTGTGCCGCGAGAGAGGACGGCTGTGGCCGCGTCCGATGAGTCGCCACTGCCCACTGGAGCACACCTCCATGCTGATTCATCAGTGCACGTGCAGGTTTAGACTCAGCGGAGGGTGGCAGGTAGAAAGAGACAGCTACTCGGTTCATAACGACAGACTATAATTGCGGAGAGCGTGTGCGTTCCCCTTAAGGCCAGCAGGCTTGCTGTGAATAGAGTGTCATCAGTTTTAATGAGGGAACCCTGAGCTCTATTCGAAATTCAGAGGGAGAAGAAGAAAAACAGAGAAAAGAAGAAGAGAGAGAGCAAAAGAGAAAGAACGAGAAAAAGACAGGAAGTCAGCTGAAGAGCACCAGAGAGAGCGAGAGGCAGAGAATGTGTAGGGGGAAAGCAAGCGAGCAATATGAGAGACAGAGACTTGAGCACAACCACACACAGTAGTTGTCCGTGAGTGTTCCTTAAACCGCACTGTGGAGGCTAATTGCTTTGGTTAACCTTCAGAGCCCAATGAGCAAATGACTCCTCCTGCCTCAGAGTCAGTAATAAGGCAGGATTTATATGGTTTTGTCTCTCCTGACACAGATTATGATATGTTAGCCCCCTTTTACCCTGTTCTTCAGTGGTCAGGACCCCCATGGACCCTCACAATGAGTTTTTAAACACTGTGTCCACTCACTGTCCACGCTATTAGACACTCCTACCTTGTCAGTCCACCTTGTAGATGTCTGAGTCTGAGACAATGGCTCATCTGCTGCTGCACAGTTTGTGTTGGTCATCCTCTAGTTCTTCATCAGTGGTCACAGGACGCTGCCCACAGGACGCTGTTGGCTGGATATTTTTGAGTGGTGGACTATTCTCAGTCCAGCAGTGACACTGAGGTGTTTAAAAACTCCAGCAGCACTGCTGTGTCTGATCCACTCAGACCAGCGCAACACACACAAACACACCACCACCACATCAGTGTTACTGCAGTGCTGAGAATGATCCACCACCCAAATAGTACCTGCTCTGTGAGGGTCCATGGGGGTCCTGACCACTGAAGAACAGGGTAAAAGGGGGCTAACAAAGTATCAGAGAAACAGATGGACTACAGTCTGTAACTGTAGAACTACAAAGTGCACCTATATAGTAAGTGGAGGTGGGTCATAATGATATGCCTGATCGGTGTATATAAACACATCTATTGTCAGGAATTTTGATAATTAAGCATTTTTAAAAAGAGCCACACTAGACAACCACTCCAAACTCAGTCACAATGTCTTAATTCATTTTTTTTAATCAGACTAATCTGCGATGTCCTCACTACCACCTTACCTCAAAATCTCCTAAAGATCTAAATATTTGATGAAACTGATGTGTAACAGTATGAACTAGCTGGTGTGAAGCACAACAGAATTAGAAAAGCTCTCAGGCACAAGGCTTTTATTCTGAAATGCCGTGTCACGTTTTGTTAAGAAGAAGTCTTTTATTTTGAGATGTTGCAGCACTTTGTGGAGAAACATGCCACATTTTACACTTACAAAGAAACACTTCTTTCCTCTCCCAAAACAAAGACGTTTGCATGTTGTGATCATTCATAATTCCTGCACGCAGAGCATTTAGTTTCATTACTAAAACCACAAGGGAGAATTTGATGTGTATTGCACTTTGGAATGATGCTCTTCCCTTTTAGAGGGACTGTGCCTGTGACCGAAATGGACCCCTATCTGCGTGTTGAGCACCACTGAGTAGTAAAACAGATCTGCAGAGTGATTTTGAGGGCAATACAATCTCCCACAATCACTTGTAATTTCTAGTGAGCACTATAGATCACTACAGCGGCTGAATGTACACCAACATGTACTGCAAGTCTCTTGTTACTAAGCAACAGACAGAGGAACAGTGCATTAACAGTGGCCACTGAGCCACTGAACACAGAACTTAGACTCTCACAGCTCTCTGGAGAAACACTGCAAAAAAACAGCATCTCTGTACGGATAAACACAAAATCCCTAATACTGCTCATCACGAAGCAAAAACACTGACCGCTAGGAATTAAACATGCAGCCAGGTCAAGTTTACCTTATTCTCATCCCGTTTTAGAACTTTATGCCCATTTCCACAACTACAAGTAAGAAAAATAAAGAAGTCAATCAGCCCTTTTTCACATTTCCACATTTTTTTCTGCTGGAAATTCTCGTTGCAGGTGACGCCGCTACCGCTAAAGCAATAACAGCAGCAACAACGATGAGTGGAGCGTGTAGAGCTCACTGACGTATTAGAGCTTGAAGCGAAAACAGCCTCATCTCAGTTTCAGTGGTCAGTCAGCTGACGATGAGCAGAGGAAAACGAGTTTGTGCAGTTAATAAAGGAATAAACTGTCATTCGGAGTAAAAGAACCCCTGTGTCTTTATTTCAGCGCTGCTGACTAACAAGTTAACGTTGCACTGAGTGCAGTTTGTGCTTTAAAGTTGCTGCTGCAGCCGCTTTCAGAGGAACAGTTTTCATTTTCTCCCTCAAAAATAACCAGTATCTGAGAGAGCGAGTGCTCAGCGGAGAGTAGATGTTCGTTTACTGGTGCCGGAGGTTCCGCCTTAAATGGTGCCTGAGCTGCCAGAATGTAACTGCTGCACCATTTAAGGTGGAACGGGAAAATTTGAACGAGAAGCTACTACAGCCTCGCGACTTTTTAGTATGTCATGTTTTCTCGTTTCAGATTAACCGTATCAGGAAACCAGCTGAGTGATTATAAATGCAATGACAGCGGCGCCACGGACCCTGATGACCCGGTGCGCCCCCTGCTGGGATGTGCACGTTTAGCTTTTTGCCGCTTTAATTAGTTTGTTAGCGACCTGTTTTAATATCTCCAGCTAACACGGCTAATCTAGTATTTTAGTTATAGTTATGTTCACCTCCATCGATTCATCACTCTGTAGACGTTGGCTGGTGTTACTGTACTCTGATAGCTGTGAAGGAGTTTTTTGAATCATTTATATCCTTTATTTAGTAGGAACCCCTGCATTGTTGTGTGTTTGGTTCTCCAACAGTTCTGGACTCATCCTCCAATTCCAATCTTGGCAGCTATGACAGAGATAAAGTGACGCACCTTTCTGTGGTGGCTGAAGTGATACGAACGCCTGTATTTCTGAGGTTAATAACTGTTAGCCCACTTCAGTTTCTTATGAAAAGGGCCTATTCATGTTGGTTTGTTTCAGCGATTACTGAGTACTGATGAAGGCCGATGATCAGGAAGTGTCCGTAATTGTTTATTATTGATGTATTTTCACCGTTATTTAGTAAACTAAACTGTCCTCCTTTATGTAGCACAATACTACACATACTACAACTCACATTTCTTGTCTAAGAAACAATACTGACAGCAGATGGGTCAAGTCTGGCCACTACCCAGTCCATTTAATGAGGTATGTATTAGTGAGATTACTTGAAATTTGAAATTTGCTTGAAATATTTCAGGTGAAGGCTGAACATCTCACTATATCAGCAATATACAGAGATTAGCACAGTATGGAAAGTTTGAAGCACACTGTTTCAGATTTTTCCTATCCATGCTCTAATTACGGCTATAGTCACTAAACAGTAACCGGCACTATGCCATTTTTAATTCAGCACTTTGGGTGATCATGGGCCGGTTCGGGTTAGTTTCGGACAGAAATGTGTTGTAATCAGATCAGCTTTAGACTCAAAACATGATGATGGGGTTCGAGTCAGGTTTGGACAGAATTCTGTCTGGCTAGGGTCAGGTTCAGACTGAAAACGAGACGCAGCGTGCTGGACTGGGACAGAAAGCGTATTCAGGTTTGGACCAAAATTTCAGGCCCAATTAAAGCTCTAATCACTATGAATAACGCTAGTCCATTTCTAACAGGCAGGGAGAGGAACAGGCTTTGTGAACACACACACACACACACACAGAATCACACAAGTCCTGTCAAACAGCAGTGTGGGTTTTATAAAACATATGGCCTGTGTCTGCAGACAGATACGGATCTTGGTTGAACAAAACCAAAAACCTAAAGAGAGCAGAGTACATCAGGATTCAGCTGCCGTTCACCGAGAAGCCTCATGAAAATCTAATGGGAAATTTTCTAAGGTTGTGTGTGAGTGTGAGTGTGGGGTCCCTGCCTCTCAGTAATCCTAAAGAATCAAGAGCAGTCCTTCATTTCTGCTTCAGTGCTCTGCGAGATCCTCTGCGGCAACACTGCAGCCTCCCGCACTCCGTCACCTGAATACTCTCTCTCACAAATACACTGAAGTGGCCCTCTCTCATTCCATCCCTCTCTGCATACTTGTAGGTTACTAATGTACGTCTAGCTCTGATGGCATAAATGATGCATCTCTTTGTAAATTCCCATACAAAGCCCTATTTGCAACAGCACGATGGAGAAAATGAACAAGTGTGGCAACTGAACATCAGCAAAGACAGAAGTAGCAGTAACTTCACACAAATTTGATTCCTAAACCAGGACCAAATACAGCAAAAGTGAACATTGTTCTCTGCCTTTTGCTCAGTGGTCTATAAACTTGGAAGCCTTCAAAAACGACTGGATTAAAAATAGTATATAAAAACTATGTGGGAAGAAAGAACAGGCAGACTTTTCTGTGACCGTTATTTTGCTGTAAGAATGACCGGTTGAAGGGTCTAAAATTTGCAAGCTGAATGCCAACTAATCATTGACAACTCATCAAGGAAATACATTTTAATCTATGATATTTTAAACTGAATAATCTGGTTCAAGTTCTAAGGCTCACAT